CCTCCACATGCGAGCCCAGCCCTCCCCCACCCCATTTCCAGCCGCTGCCACCAGAAGGGGTACACTAGTTAAAAAAGTTTGAAAAAAACCTCAGATCTATGTCATAGGCTGCAATATCCACCGTCTGTCATAGACGGAAAGATGCCAAAAGAAAAGAAGTAGAGGATGTTGATAAAAAGCATGGATTTGCAACGTTTTGCCATTACAAGCTTCTGCTGGCAACCCAGCTCTCTGCTGTGACCCACAAATCTGTATTTGCTGGTGATCAGCAGGTGCTATGGAGGGAATATGGAACAGGGAAGGGGTTACAAGCCTGTGGATGCCTCCACTGCTGCCGTAGCACAAGTGTAATGTCAGTGCCCTGGGCCATAGGTTGCCAACCCCTTGTATAATGAGATAAAATGATGCACACAAGTGTCACATGCCAAGTCACCAATGATAAATTCTTATCACATGCTTTTCTTCAGAGCTATATCTTGTGTATCAGCACCACTTTGAGGGGAGAAAAGTCGACAGCCAGTATGTTACGACTGCTGTTGCTGCTGCAAATCCAAACCAATCTTCCACTTCTGCCTCTGCATTTCTCAGATTGGAGAAGGAAAATATTTTTTCATTCAAACTATGGTGTGATTTGATCAGAGACTTCATCTGCAAATGTTCAGTTGCAGTATATTTTGCATGTTAAAAATACGTGTACTTGTTCTGAGGTCCTGTTTAGAGTCTTGGATTTAAGGTAAAAGAGGAAAACAGCAAGGAGGATGGTCCTGGTGGGTATCTACAATAGCTAGGGTATATGTCCTGTTTTGGCCAGGACAGTCCCCAGTTTCATGGGCTGTCCCGGCCAGTTGCCTAAAATTGAAGCAGAAGTCTAGGATTAGAGGCAGCACCCTGCCCACACATACCTGGTGCTGTTCCTCCTGAGCAGTTTCTGGAGGCTGCAGGGGTGCGCTGAGCATGGTATCTGACCTGACCCTCCTGCCTAGTGTGGGGATGGGCTGAGGTGAGGCGGGGGCTCAGGAACAGCACCAGGGAAGGGGGCTGGGGCTCAGGAACATGTACAAGGTAAACCGGCATGGCCACCAGCAGCTTCATGTTCTGCTGCTGCCAAGGTCTGGGCTTCATGTGGCGGCCCCAGGTGACTGACAGTGGCTGGGGGAAGGCGCTGTGTGGCTACATAGTGCAAGCTGGCAGAGCTTAAGGGGCACCACACAGGAGCCTCTCCCAGCCGGGTTCAGCCTCTGCGCATGGAGGAACAGAGCCTGAACCTGGGCCTCCGCACTGTCCCACCCCACCCTGCTCGAACCTCGGCTCTGGGTGGGGGAAGGGGTGCACGCGTGTAGGTCTGGGGTATGTACATGTATGTGACACCCCCCCATCCCAGTTTTCCTTCAAAATAATGTGGTCACCCTGACAATAGCCCACCAGATTAGTAGGAGAGGATGGGTAAGGCCTTTTCAAAACTGGCTAAATTAAATATCTAAATCATATGACGTGTGTGTTCATGAAGGACTTTTCCTAGAACTTCCCATAATAAGTAAGGTATCATGGCAGTGCACATACATCCCAGAAAGTTCTTAGACTGTGTTGGGGACAACTTTATGGTACAGATGGTGGCAAAACCAACTAGAGGAGGATCTTCTCAATTTATTCCTTAACAATGGGGAGGAATTGGTTGAAAATCTGAAGGTGGAAGACAGTGAACTCTTTATCAAGTCATGAGAACTAGCATACAGAAAGAAGGATGGGAAAACAATAAAATAAAAACATTGGGCTAAAGGCAAACAGCTTTTAACAGATTCGGAGAACTGATCGATACTATGCCATAGGAGGCAAGTCTATGGGGAAAAAGGTAAATCAGAAGGATTTATTATTTCTTGAAGATACACTATTAAGGGCATGAGCATGCTATCCTCATAGGAAGCAAGACCTCTGCTTGGCTAAATATTGAGCTCTTCAATTTCTTCAAACTTCAAAAAGGAATCTTACAAAAATAGAAACATGGCTACAAGGGAACACAAAGGGATTGTGGAAGTATGTTGGAAGAGGAAGGATAAGAAAAGTGTCGGTTCCTTCCTGAACAGAGACTAGAAGCCAATATTGCATGATGCAGAAGTGCCTAAAGTATTTAAGGGGTGTACTTGGTAGCCGTGTTGGTCTGAGACAAAAAGACATACAAAAAACGAGAACTCTTGGTTCCAAAATGATAGCTTTTATTAGACCAACTGGAAAATGGCAAGAAAATTGTCCTTTTCTGCTAGCTTTCGAGATTAAAGTCCCTTCGTAAGGCTCTGGGAAAAGTTGTAGATGGTACAAGATGGTAAAAAGTCCCCATAGGTAGGAAATAAACTTCATTTTTGCACAGAGGAAGCTGAAGATAGAAGGTTGTCCCTCTGGGTCCATGAGAGTGTCCATGGACCCAGAGGGACAGCCTTCCATCTTCAGCTCCCTCTGTGCAAAAATGAAGTTTATTTTCTACCTATGAGGACTTTCTACCATTTTGTACCTTCTATACTTCCCAGAGCCTGACAAAGGGACTTTGATCTCGAAAGCTTGCAGAAAAGGACAATTTTTTTGCCATTTTCCAGTTGGTCTAATAAAAGGTATCATTCTGGAACAGAGAGTTCTCGTTTTTTGTATGTCTAAAGTGTTTAATTCATTTTCATTCTTCACACAGAAAAGGTCATCTATTAGATGATGAACAGACTTAACACCAATGATGAGGAAGGGGGAGAGTCAGTTTCACGTAAGAAAAGAACAAGTTAGAGATTACCTATACTGTATATGCAGGATGGTTTCATTAAGGGTAGTGCTCAAATAATTGGCTGAAATAATTGCAGAGTATTGACTGTTGTCTCTGGTGAGGTCCCAGAAGACTAGAAAAAATAAATGTATTTCACATCTTAAAAAGGAAGAGCAAGGGAATTTCTGATTAGGTAGTCTCACTTTTAATACCTGAAAGGATATTGGAGTGTAGTATCAAAGAATCAAATCTGTAGGCACCTAGAAGGTGACGAGGGACAGCCAACATGGATTTGTCAAGAGCAAGTCATGACTTTCTCTGGAGTCTGTCTTGGGACTAACACTATTCAGTATCTTCGTTAACGGATGGAACTGTATGTAGTGTTAATAAATTTGTAGGCAATATCATGTCAAATGGGAGCAGGAATATCATGTCAAATGGGAACAGGAATGGATCTGGGATGCTGAAAACGGGGGCACAGTGGTGGTGGAGCTCTGTGCATGTGTCTAGAGCTCTTGGCAGCAGAGGAGCATACAACTGCACCACCATGCTCCCCCTTGGGAATAGCAGACACTGTGGCATATATACTTAGGAGTAAAAATGATCTCATTACGTTTGGAAAATGACCTGAATTAGAATGAAGTTCTGTAAGGATGAATGGCTAGGAAGGAACAATTAAGTGGAGAGAGAGAAAATGGTGGCAGCTTTCTAGTTTCAGTACAACAGTACAACTGGCTAGTTTCAGTACAACAGAAAATGACTCAAGTTTTAGTTGATCTCAAGTGTCATATTAGTCTATGGTGTTTTATTTTTTCATAAAAAAGTTAATAAGTGGTACAGGAATGTTGAATGTTGAAAGAGTACAGAGAACAGCAACATTATTATAGGTCTAGAGGACATATAACACTAATTCTTTCACACCTTTCCTCAGATGTCATTTAGTCTAGAGAAGGCAGTATACAGAGGAGGACAATCAAATATTTTTTATGTCCACAGAGGACAGAACAAAAAGTAATAGGTTTACATTGCAAAGAGTAAGGCTTAGTTGCATGTAGTTAAGCCCTGGAACAGATTGGAGAGACTATGAAATATCCACCAGTGAAAAATGTTAAGGGAATTTTGACAAACATTTATCTGGGATTCTGTAGACAGAGATGACCCTGTCTGGAGTAGGGGGCACTAAATGGCCTTCTAAGTTCCCTTCCAGCCCTATTATTGTCTGTGACTTTTATAGTAAAAGTAAATATTGTATTTTTATATATTTTCATAGGTTTTACTGAAGACGACAGCTGGAGACATCGACATTGAACTCTGGTCAAAAGAAGCACCAAAAGCATGCCGAAACTTTATCCAGCTTTGTATGGAAGGTAATGGCTGAGGAGAACAGTCATAGCTGATCATATTGTTTTATGTAGAGTTTTGGTTCTTAAAACAGGAATCACAGCAACAGTACACTGCTGCATTGATATTAAAATACAGTTACCAGATGTGCAGGAAAATTAGAAGAATTTTAGGACTTCATAAAGAGAGATTCTACAGTAAACATTTTAAATACATTTCTTAAATCAAGTCAGTGGCAAATTGTTTGCCTAGTTACAAAACACCAAGGGCTTCTCAATGTTTAGTTGGGGGCTTGCTTGCCTTCAATAAGTTTGTGAAATGGAAATACTGCATTCTATGGAACCTTCCTCAAAAATGTTTTTGTGTTAATTTCCCTTCTGCGCTTGTGTGTTCCTTTTCTTTCAAACACATTTGTTGCATTTTTTTATATTTAATTAGTTGCAATTTCAAATTGGTGAGAGTAAAGGTCAAATTGAGACATGGCCTGTCTCTGACACAGATCAAAGAAACAGTGCATGTCATAATTATAAGGTTCCCAGAAGCAGATGAAGGAGAACCTTTAGCTGGTGTCACTGCCCTATTTACATATCTGCTAGGAATAAGAATCCTTTGTGATACACCATTTCCTGAAAATAACATCTGTCTATTCAGAAGGATTCTCACCCCTGGGTCATAGACTTTTTTTGAAGGCGCATTTCTTCTGGAAGCACAACACTTCTTGTTGAGCTAAAAGACTTCTCTTAAAAAGAGATGAGACTGATGTTAAAATTTAAGATATTGGGGATTCAACTACTTTGGCTTTAGTAACCTGTTCTAGGTCGTAATTCTTTTTTAATGTTAAAAAAATCACCCAATTTCCATCTGAATTTGTCTAGTTTCCCTTCAGCCACTAGATCTTGTTATGCCTCTGACTGATAAATTAGACCCTTCCACTAAAATAAATTTTCTTCTCTTGTAGATACCTATAGAACATAATTGTGTTGCCTCTTTACCTTTTGTTGGTTGTTGAGCCTCATTGCTGTATGAGAGTTTCTCATACCTAAAATAATTCTTGTAGTTGTTTTATGAGCTCTTTCCAAGTTATCAAAATAATTGATAACTGAACACAGTGTTCCAGTAACACTGTCAGGAAAGCCATATAAATAGGCAATACTACCTTATAGGGCTGTGTGAAGCTTTGGTCACTGATTTGGTTTGGTGGAGATTCGGCCTGATTTTGCGGCTGAATCTCCGAATCTGAATCGAATCAGGAGACCCTTTAATCTCTCCGAATCGAATCAGAACCCTCTGAATCAATTCAGAGAGGTTTGACAATTCGGACGTAGACACAGCTTTATATGTTTTTTTTACATACCTTAAGGTACCAGGCGACTTGTAAACACTGTGATGGTGGAGTGGATAGAGCGTCCCACAGGAACGCAGAGGAGTCCCCCATGCACTCGGCAGTGGACCTGGAAGTGGACCAGAAGCACTTTTGGTCCACTTCTGGGTCCTCTGCAGTGTGTGCTGGGGACCCCCGGCTCAGCGACTGGTGCCTCCTGGGTCTGGGGGGGGGGTACCCAGAGTACCTCTGAGGCTGATCGTTGAGCCGGGGAGGGTGGGGGGGCCCCCCCGCGCTCATGTGGGACTCTCCACTTGCCCCGCCTTCTCAGCATTCACAAGCTGCGCCTGGTACCTCAAGGTATGTAGAAAAAACATTTAAAGCTGTGTCTATGGCTGAATTGCTGATTCTCTGAATCAGCATCGAATCTTCAAATGTGGCCGAATTGAATCGGGCCGGTGATCCAAATGAACGAATCAAATCATTGTCCCACTCGTCGGGCAGAATCTGAATCAAATATGGCCAGCTTCTCACACCCCTACTACCTTGCTCCTTTGTCATTAGGATTTCATTAGGTTTCTTGGTAACTTTATTGTGCTGAGTCTTCGTATGTAGTTGGTTAACACTGTAATCTCAAGGACCTTTTCAGTGTCAATATTTCTTGAATACAGTCTACTGTCATATAAGGTGCAACTGGCATTGCCTTTCTCACAAGTCAGCGTCTTAAGCTAGTTCATGCATAGAGGTTTATAATTCTGCTGCTTTGAGCTAACAGCCCTTGTCCATTAGCTCACACAAACAAATGAATGCATATACATATAACCCAGACTTCTGGGATTCAAACCCTGCAAACAATTCAATTTGAGGTGCTGTCATGTGAGGTCTGACCACTAGAAAAAAGAATAAGGCCAGCAAAGTCCATCCCAGTCATTAAAGGCAATCTGTGGTCCACAAGCCAGATCTGTCCTCCAAAGGTCTGCTTCAGTCTGCTCCAGTGTGGGGAGGAGGGAGGCTTTTGCCAGCCAGTAGTGTAACTAGGGGTAGGAAAGCAGGGCATGAGCCCCAGGCTCTAACATTAACAGGTAGCAGAATGGAGGCACCCTAGGGAGTCTGTGGTGCCCTGCTGCGCTGCTGAATCCACTGTAGCCACTGGTGGCAGTGGGTGGGGGGGGAGAGGGATTCAGGGCTGGGAGCAGTGAGGCAGTTGGGAGCTGGGGTCTCATGGGTATAGTGTCCCAGTAGCCTTGGTCTCCTCATTCATTCCTTCTTCCTGGCCCTCAAAATGGGAGTTGCTTGCTGTGGGAGGGTCATGTCAGTGCAACCAGAAGCCAGGAGGTTAATGTAGCTACTCTGCTGAAACCAGTGCCTTTCCTACAGTCAGATTCACTCCTGTACGTTGCTGCTGGTGATGTAAATTGGTAGCTCTTGGTGACAGGGATGAGTGTTGGTCGCTGAAGTAGCAGGAAGTGAGAGAATCCCTACATTGTGCTGCTGCTGTGATAAGCCCCTTGCTCCTGGTTGTGCTGACATCTTCCCCTTGCAGGAGCGTCTCTCCCATGGGGAGGCTAGGGGTGTGGGGCATGAGGCTGATGAAGGGATTAGGGCTTCTGGGTATGACCCCTATGTTGCCGAGGACATGAACTTTGCCAGTCTCTCAGAAGTTCATCAGTGGAGGTGATTACCCAGTATGGGGGGATTGGCGGCCTGCAGTGGCAGCCCACCATTGATAAAAGGTTGCCAGTTCCTGGTGTAGAGCAGCGGGGTGTCCTGAAGTGCATATAACATCAATATATGTAGGGTCATATGCTACTCCACCTGTGTAGTTGGTGTGTAAATGAACTTAGGTGCCCAAATGCAATCCTACTCCACCCTATTTCAGTCCCTAAAAAAACTGTTAATATGAAAAGTGGATGCTTCCTCCTCACAGCTGGTTTTTTTTTGTGATACAGGTTTAAGTATAAAATGATGTGGTAAGGACATATATCAGGTGTGTCCAAGATACAGCCTGTGGAGACCTTCCACTTTCCCCAGTACTATGTTTAGGTCCATATTGATCCACACAGCACGCACCGTACTGGCCCTGTGCACAGGGTTCAGGACAGGCACCCCTTCCCCCACTGCTTATTGGCTCTGCCATTCACCCCTGATTGATAAGAGGGCAAAAGCCACAGTTTTAAATATGCCACAGTTTTGCCTTCCGCTGCTGGCTGGTGAAGGGGCCCTGGTGGCCCTGCCACTTGCTGTTGACCAAACTGAAGGCAAAAAACCACGGTATATTTAAAACCAGTTTTCACCTCCCAGCCATCAGGAGCAAGCAGTGGGGCCAATGGGGCCCCTCTGCCAATCAGCAGCAGGGAGAGCATGGGGGAACCTGCAAGATTAAAGGAGCCACTGCTCAGCACACTTCTGGCACGATTTCCAGTGGTCCCTACATATGTGTTGTCCCCTGCTCTTTACCCCCCGCCACCAGACCAGGACACATGCCACATGCGGCACCTGCTGCTATGCAGGTCCCAGATCAGTTGGAGTGAACACCATGTGCAGTTCAGTCCCAGACCAGTGGTGTGGGGGCCACATGCAGCACAGGTTGTGGACTTGCTGTAGCTTGGTGCTGTAGCTGTAGCTGGAATGGTGCGGGGAGCACGATGCGTAATGCAGATTGTAGAGCAAGTGCTGGAACCAGCATATGGAGCAGTCCATGGGCCTGGCTCCATTCTTCTTATTCAGCCCACTACATCAGATAAGTTAGTTCCTGACCTAGACTATCCAGTACTGTATATACGTGTTTAATGTTGAAACCTTTTGTCTTAAAAATTGTAATATGCTTATATGATCCTAGAACCCTAGGGTATTCGTTAACCCGGGGTCATCAACATATAGGCTGCAGACCAGATCTAACCTGTGGACCTGGGACTTTAAGAGTGTTTGGCTTTGTGAGGGTTTGGCTGGAGGTGCTCTTTCTGTGCTGTAGGATTGAGCATTACCTGCAGGCAACCTGGGGTGGGCCATTCTGACTGGCAGCAGAAACAGGTTGCTTAACCCTGCTCTAACCAATCTCAATGAGTATTCAAGAGTGGAAACTCAACTAATTACTAATTTTTGAGTGAAAGCTTGAGTCCTAACTTCTAGCTGTATAGTAATAGTTTATCAGTAAATCATAAAAAGATATCTTTATCCCATTTTACAGATGGGGAACCTGAGGTACAGGGAGGTAAAGTGATTTATTCAGGGTCACCAAACAAGCCAATGGCAAAGCCAGAAATAGACACCAGGTGTTCTGACTTGCCTTCTGGAACTCTAGCCCTTAGGCCACTCTAACTATACTACATATAACTATATGTTTAGTATCTCTTAAAAATATGTAGTTACTATTCCTTTTTTTCCTTTTCAGATTATTATAACAACACAGTATTTCATAGAGTTGTGCCTGGTTTTATAGTTCAAGGAGGTGATCCCACTGGTACTGGATCAGGTGGAGAATCGATTTATGGGGTTCCCTTCAAGGTAGGTATCTATACGACTTATTTGAAATGTATTTTATTAACTTTCAAGCAATATTACTAATGGGAGCGGTTGGTACAGCAAGCCATGTACATCTGTACTTGTGTATAGCACTTTCTTGCACATGTTTCTCATTTTCTGCATGCGCAGTTTTAAGATATAGCCATCTTAAGATCATAGGGAAGTATGTCTGGAAGGGACTTCATGAGGTCATCTAGTCCAGCCTCCTGCTCAAGGCAGCATCATCCTTTATGCTGAATGTGAGAGGTAAGTGTAAACTTGACAGCTCAGTAAAGTAAACCATCGTCCAGGTGACAGCAGTATGGGTATTTTTTAGGGCTGTCAAATGATTAAAAAATGTGATTGTCATTAGTTGTGTGATTAAAAAAAATAGTCACAATTAATCATCATTTTTATCACACAGCTAAAAAATTCAAAATTATGCGCAGAAAAACTCAAAATTATGCAGGTACTTTGTATGGTGGGGGAGGGGGTGTGGGGGGAATTTGTGAAGGTGTGGGAGGGTTGCCCATGGTAGGCCTGGAGAGGGAGAACCCCCACATGTCCTGGCAGCATGCCCAATCTGAGTAGCATCTCTGTGGAGCTGCCCCAGGCCTGGGGTGTGCCCCCCCACCCAAGTATGATCCCAGCGGGGGTGGGTTTACCCTGCCCTCACCCCAGCAGCAGCAGCTGTGGGCATCTGGGCTGGGGGTAGCTGCTCTGAGCCCCAGCCTTGGACTGGGCCTAAACTTCCCCCATTACTTGCTTAGCAGGTCCCAGATGGTTCTGACCTACCGTGGCCTAGTGTGGCCCTCCCTGAACTCCCAGAGCTGCCAGCCTGGCTGCTCATGGCCTTGGATGGGGGTTGTGGGTGGGTGAGTGTGCCCCTTTCCTTTCTGCTGCAACCACCCAGAGCCTGCATCCCGCTGGGACCCACATGGAGCTGCCGTGGCGGGGCTGCCTGGCACGCTTGGGCTTGGGCTTGGGCTTGGGATGGGTTGGGACCACCTGGGAGCTCCAGCACAAACCATCTCCAGGTCCCTGCATATCCCTGGTCCAGGCCTCCAGGGAGCAGTAGTGACAGCAGCCCTGTGTCCCCATGGAAGCAGCTGCTGCTGGCGGGCAGGGGTGGGATTCCTGCAGAGCCACCTCCCATGTTCCCCGGCCCATGCCACGCTGCATGCCTGGCCCCAGCCAGCGCTGCCGGAGCCCAAGTCGCACCCAGCACCACCACCACTGCCAAGCTGGGCAGAGCCATTGCTCTCCTCTCTGCACTGCCCAGGCTCCTGGCAACTCCATGTGGGTCCCAGCGGGAGCTCAGGTGGCAGCTTGGGCTCTGGCGGTGCTGGGCTGGGACTGGGCATGGGGCATGGCATGAGCCAGGGACTGCAGGAGGTGGCTCTGTAGGAATCTCACCCCTACCCTCTGGCAGCGACTGCCTCAGCAGGGCCACAGGACGGGGTGCCACTGTCACTGCCACTTCCCAGGGGCCCGGACCAGAGATGCGCAGGAACCTGTGGGCCTGGAGGCAGCTCGTGCTGGAGCTCCCAGGTGGTCCTGACCTGCCTCTAGCCTGAGCCATGCGCCCAAGGATGCCAGGCAGCCCCACTGTGGCTCAGTGCCGCCTTCCCCGAGCCTCTGGTGCTGCCAGCCTGTCTGCTCAGGACCCTGGAAGGGGGTTGTGCATGGGTGTGCCCCCCCTCCCTCCCCTTCCTGCTTCAACTTCCCAGAGCTGGAGCCTGTGCTGCCCTACGGCTCCTCTGCACTGCCACCACAGTCCCTTTGGGTGGCCTGGAGGCAGCAGTGACGGCAGTTGGGGGAGGGCAGCCCAGGCGCAGGCTCCAAAACTACACGTGCAATTAACATGTTAAAAAAATTAATGTGTTAATTGGTTCATGCGTTAATCATGCAAGTTAACGGAGATTGACTGACAGCCCTAGTATTTTTCCTACTAGACTTTGCCCAGACCTGAGGACACTCATAAAGTACCAAGTAAACTTGTGCTGAATATTAAAATAAAAGGAAAATATAACAGCTTTTAAATTTCTTAAGTAATGTTTTGGCCAAACTACAAATAGCTATATTATGCTCTCCAATACTTGTTGGACTACACATCGTCCAGCACTAGATTTTCAGATGTGGAGGGCATGAGGAATTTGTACATGTCAAATTTTGTTTTGGAAATACTATGATACTTATGCAAGTTTAGATCCTGATTAACACAGGTATGTGAACTGCCATCTTCTTATATGTTCCCTGGGGTATTTGAAGACCTATGTTTGGAATGTCTAAGATGTGTGGATGTATTTTAGTCGATTTCTAAATATTTGGTGCTTAATGTCTTTATAAGTATCCTTTATGGCTTCAAAATAAAATTACAAGTTTCTCCTTTGCTTGCATTCTCTTTGAATTTCTCGCTCATTTATTGGTGTTCCAACAGAATGCTTGTCTGACACCATGCAGGGAGAGGTTTTATTTTCTATATGTGATCTGTTCAGCAACAGTGAAATGGCTAATGTGATGTGTACAATTCTTTTGTCACTTGAAATATTTATAGTCAAGGTCTCTGTAAATTGTGCCTTGCTTTTTTCAGTCCAGGGTTACAGTTTTTCTCTCTTTTCCAGGTTCCAAGGAGACATTTCCCCTTCTTAAGAGCAGGTCTTACTAGCCACTAAATTTAGGGTACAGAGACAAAACATGTTAAGTCTAGATTATTCTCAGTTTGTTTTGGAGGAAAAGTGGAGGGGACATATGACATACAGCATTTACTCCAGAGGAGTCATTGTTTTTCAGTGTAAAGTACAGCCAACACCCCTGAGGTGTTATAAGGACATTGGAAATAAATTTACTCCACAGAAAGTTATACCAGTGTACATGTCGTATTTGCTACTATTGTCAGTTTCATTTTGGAGTATTTGCTTAAAACAAACACGCTCTTCAGCCACCTAGTGACCAGGCACTGTAATTGTGCCTACTTTAGTCAGTCACTTGGAAGAAGTAGTTATTTGTCTTGAGAGTATATTTACTTCAAAGTAAAACCTGAGGTCAGTTAGACCAGAGTATATGTATTGTTTGTATGCTAATGAAAAATGTCACTTGTTGGCTAACTATTCTTTTTCTTCACCTCCCAGAATTAACACACATAGCTTTAGTGGGGTTTTTTGGGCGGGGAGGTGTTTCATATCAACTGTTCATACAATAGCTTTTGGAAAGAGTTTGTTTGAATTAATTGAGATTCAGGCTTCATGTCCCACAAACCCAATATTACACGGTATCAAGACTGAGTAGGGTTGACTTGTCTGGTATGGCTATATTGTTGATTTTTGCTTGGTGATGATCTTTTTACATTTTAGTCAAACTTGCATTAGAAATTATGGCCCTTGTGCAGGACTTCTATTCTTCTCATATCCTCATTGTCAGTCACATTGATCCCTCTGACTCCCAGCATGTTCCTACAGACTCCGGTATTAAAATGACAACTGTCTACCATTTCTTAAACCTTGGGCTTCTGATATACCTATGAAGTTAAAAGATACCCACTTAGACCATGATCCTGCACTGATCTTGTGCAGCATTCCATTGAAAGGTGAGACAGGGAGGGATGCAGTGTCTTTAGATTTTATGCCAGATATTGGTGGCTTGACTTCCATATATTTCTGTGAAGGCAGTATCAAAGAGACCAGATCATTTTATTAACAGGGAAGAACTACGGGATTTTAAATAATGAAGTTTTATTTGATTCTGGAAATTTTTTAGGGGGCCACAAATGAAAAAAGGTTGAAAACCACTGATCTAGAACATAACTCCTAGCATGCACAGAGACTGAGTTAGCAAGCTATTTTTTGTTTATGTATACTTGATTTTACTGTACTCACATGCACTTGCATAATTACAAGCACATTTTTTTTTTGTTTTTGTTCTGGTTTATGTTTCCAAACTTTCTGTGAATGTTCAGGGTTTCCCTCTTTCTATAATAGTAGAAATTCATATATATACACTGAGTGTGTGTGTCATGCTATGGCTTGGGTGTTGATTTGCCTAAAAGGTCAAGTGTGGTGGAGAGGAAGAAATAGCATGTAATCATGACATTGAAGATGTTATCATAATATATACAGATAAGGTTAGCTGGGCAAGTTTGTCTTGCATTCCTTCCTTTTTTGAATGCTTGATTTTTTTGATTTTTTTTTACATCCTATGTCCTAAGTAACTTTCTTTTAACATAATTGCTATATACATTTTTATACATATACATAAAACTTGTATGTTTCTTGGTGTGTTTATGTGTGTACATTAATCTAAAGTCTGATTCAGCCTCTTGTAGCATACTTTCTTACTTTAGAAGTAATCCCTTCTTTTTTTGTCTTGCTCAGCAAGTTGTAGTTAAGCACATAGGAGGGTTGAAATACTTGTACCATTGACATTTTTGACAGGTCTCCCATTGATTTTAATGGAAACAGGATTTGTTCCTAAATACAATATTTAACCTTAAAAGTATGATAGTTTTGATAACAAGATGTAGATTTTTAGTCTGTCTGATTGACAAGATTTTTTTAAACAATGGGTTTCTCTTGAGAAAAAAATATTGTTTAGAACTAACAAATACTTAACCAGGCTAACAGTTGAAAAAAGGATTTAAAGGTATATTTGTAGCTACGTCTTATTATTCAGTTATTTGTTTCACTATTGATCTGGGAATAGTCTTTTATTTTCCATTGTGTTTTTTTAAGAGAAGGTTTTTCTGATAGAGGCTGTTTTCTCTCAATTTGTGAAAATATAAGTAATTAGAACAATTAGAATATTTTGCAATTTAGTATTTTCAGATGCCATAATTAAAGTACAATGCTAGCACTAAGAAGGAGTGATATTTATATTGCTTACAGTGCTTTAAAACTTTAAAAACATGGGACATTTTGTGTATGCATATCAGATTGGCTGTAAACAAGTGAAACATTGAAATTTGCCTAATTAAACAATATTCTTTTTTATTTGGCAGGATGAATTCCATTCACGGTTGCGTTTTAATCGAAGAGGACTGGTTGCTATGGCAAATGCTGGTCCTCATGATAATGGCAGTCAATTTTTCTTTACTCTGGGTCGTGCAGATGAACTTAACAACAAGCACACCATCTTTGGCAAGGTATGTTAGGGCTCGGAGTTATAATTGAAACTGGTTTTGTCAAGCTCAGTGACGTGTTCTTCTGAATTCAATAACTATTTTCTTATTTTACTGCTGTGTACATCTCAAAATTATTTTGTTACTTTCAAAGTTATTTCACTACCTATTAAGTCCACCTATTGCATACATGCCTCTGACATTGATGTTTTCTGTTCATAGCTCCTGTCATCATTTCCTTTTCTCCAAAATGATATTTATGTTTTGTAGGGCATTTGTACACATGCTTTTAAAAGCACCTGGTGCTGCAGCGCATGCAGTTTTATAAGTGGTGAAATGCATGTCGTTAGTGCTGAGAAAATGGCGGCAGTGCACTTTTGAACTAAAACACATTGGAAATATTTTAGTTCTAAAGTGCACCATTGCCATTTTCTGCTCGCTGACATGCAATTCACTGCTTATACAACTACACGCAACTCAGCTCAGTGCGTGTCAGCTCACGTGTGGCACAGACTCGATTAATTGAGTCTGTTCCAACCCGCTGGATCTCCGGCCCATCACGGGATGAAAAGATGTGTGTATAAATTCCTGTAGTTTACCAGAATAATCTCCCTAACAATTATGTTGTGATCAGCAGGGGCATAACAATGCAGCTCGAAACCTAAGGCAGAGGCAATTTCTGGTTGTTGCCATACTATTAACACAATTCCATGGCTGTGGTGGCAGTGGTATTTATCAGTGGGGCAGCTATCCCAGTTGCCCTTCCTCAGTTACATTAACAGTGATCAATTTAGTTTATTTTCTGTTTTATTAACAATAAGTTAATAACATTCTTTTTCTTAATTATCATTATAAAATAACAGCAAATGAAAGCAATCAAATGTTTCAAGTAAATGTGGATATTGTTGAATAGCTTAGCTCTAAAACAGACCATTTATATTCTAGCTCGTAGAGAAATTTTATAAAAGTGATTTTTTTTTTCTGGACTCTACAATTATATGGTTATCTTGGCTGTTTGAGGGCAGATAAAAAAACCCTTGTATCTAGAAATGGCTGTTATTGATACACAGACATAGCTTAAAATAAAGAAACTTCAGAATGATTTATGTAATACTTATCTTAAATTTTGAACAGTTATCACAAAGTTACAGGTTTTGAAATAACTTTTTGATGAATTTGACAGATTACTGGGGACACAATATATAATATGATACGACTGGCTGAAGTAGAAACAGACAAGGAAGAAAGACCACTCAACCCACACAAAATAAAAATTAGTGAGGTAAATATACCATGATTTAAAATCTAAAACTCAATGAATAATTTTTGCTCTTCTTGCACACCTGTTCTATTAAGCCATATTGGCAGTAATTTATCCTAATAGATCTTGTATTACTGGTAAAAAAAAGTAATTTAAGAATAATGTATTTCTTCCAAAATCTTATTGTGAAAGGTTTAATCAGTATAAGTTATAGCAAAATGATTTAAAAATATTTGTGTAAAATACTCGATATTTTCCCCACAGGTTTTGTTTAATCCTTTTGATGATATCATTCCAAGAGCAAATAAAAAGCTGAAAAAGGACAAACCAGAAGAAGAAGTAAAAAAGTCCAAGTCCAAAGGCACAAAGTAATTTTACCTCCATAAGTGGGGTTTTGTTTTCTTTTAATTTTTTACAACACTAAGTATAAAATAATTTATTACTGGCTGTATTATTCAGAGACTAGGAACTGATTGTACTAGGCACATACAAACAGAGAACAAAAAGATGATGCCTGCCTTAAAGAGTTTGCAATGTAAACATAAGAGAAAACAGATGGATAAAAACAGACATATTGGTCAGTGTGATAGGCAGTGGTCTCAGCTCTGAGAAATCAATACCTAACATACTGACCACATTGGCTCAGAAATGTTGGTGCCCTCATACAGAACTATGGTAAGCTAAAAATAATACCTGATTTTACAAGATTGATAGGCATTTCTAATTATGTCTTTGGAGGACAAGTGTAAAAGTTCATGCATTTAAGAAATATGTCTGTTTATGGATTTATTTGTGCTGAACACTATGATGATGCATAAAATAACTGTCTGCCATGTATAAATTAAGGCATAAACTTTTAGTGTTTTATATGCTTAGTAGATTCAATCTTGCTAGATTGGAAAAATTCTCTAGAGACAATTGACTAAAGTTCAGTTCAGACAAATGTAAGAGGTATACCTCAAGAAGAATGACCAAATGCACAGATACAAAATGGAAGATAAGTATTGGGCAGTAGTGTTGCTGAGAGAGATCTTGGGGTTTGGAGGGATGATAGACTTAACATTCGTCAGCAAAGTGGTCTGTATCAACAGAAGTAGTAGTTGTAAGGCACAAGGGGTAATAGTGCTATTCTATTTAGTTAGACCTTACCTGGAGCATTGTGTACAGTTTTGAGTTTTACATTTTAAGCAGAGGTTAGGAATGGTTCAGAGGCAGGTGGCAAAAATGATAAAGGGGCTGAAAGGCAAGTTCTATCAGGAAAGCTTGAGACAGTGAGGTATGTTTAGCTTGGAGAAAAGGAAATTAAGGCAGGTTATGATGGCAGTTTTCAAATATTTGAAAGGCTTCCACGAAGAAAGGGAGAGCCAACTTTTATCCCATGTTGCACAGGGCAGGCCAAAGTAATGGTTTTAATTTGTTCCAAAGTAGAATTAAATTAGTAAGGCTTTGGAATAGATTGTGCAGGGAATTGGTAAAATCTCCTTCATTGGAAGTTTTTAAGAGGATGCTGAATAAGCATCGGGCAGGGATGATTTAGGAATAGCATTCTCTGTGCGGGGGTTTGGGTTCAGATACCTGTTAATCACAACCCTATGATTCTATGCCAGATCGGACCTTTAATGTTCTTTTAATCTTTGTTATTGTAAAGCCATGTACTTAATGTAGGTAATAATACTGTTGCCTCATCTCACTGAGATGTAAAGATAAATTCATTCTTGTTTCTGAATCTTTTAAGAGTCTGAGAGCACTACAGAAACATCCATGAGAAAGTTAATAATTAGTTTTTGGGAGTAGGATTTGAATAAAATGAATAAGACTTGGGGTTGTGTTGAATGAGGTGGAATAAAAGAGATAATGACTAGAAGTCTGATTACTGAATGAGATTGGCTTCTATAGAAAATTCTTATGTGATCATGTAGTTGGATAGCTTTATATGCTGCTTGCAGATGTGAAAAAAGCCCAACAAAAACGGTGCTTTACTTTAAACTTGGTGCATTCCCACGCCAGGCCCAGCACATGCCCAGAAGGGGCAGTACATGAGTTCAACCCAACTCTGCAGCATCTGTATAGATTGGGCACTTTAGTCGGGCTTTTTTTAGCACTTTTATCTAATAGCTGATTAAATCAGCTATTAGATAAAAGCACCAAAAAGCCCTGCTGAAGTGCCCAATCTATACAGACCCTGCAGAGCTGAGTCGAACTACTGCACTGCTGCTTCTGGTAAAGCATGGGGGGGGTTGTTTTCTTTTCTTTTCATGTCTGGAAGCAGCCATAATGAATGCACACAAGAAGGACAAATGAAGGATGCTTGAACAACTTTTAAGTGTCTGACTTTGAATCATAGAAATTAAGGGCTGGAGGGGACATTGAAAGATCATCAAGTTCAATCCCCCTGCTCTGGGCAGGAATACTGCTAAGATCAAATGATCCCAGGAAGGTGTCTGTCCAGTCTCCTCTTGAAGACTTCCAAGGTTGAGGACTGTTGCACCTCCTTGGGAAGTCTATTCCAGATACCATAAATAAGTTCTTCCTTACCTTCAACCTGAAACTATCATCTAACAGTTTATGGCCATTGCTCTTTGTCCTCCCCTGGGCCACCGCAGTGAACAGTTTTTCTCCTAGCTCCCGATATTCACCCCCTACATACTTATAAACAGCCAACAAGTCCCCCCTCAGTCTTCTCTTCCCCAGGCTGAACAGTCCTAGATCCCTTAGTCCTTCCTCATAAGGTTTGTCCTCCAGGCCCTTAATCATCTTGTGGCCCTTCTCTGGACACTTTCAAGATTCTCCATGTCTTTTTTTTTTTTTTGAAGTGTGGTGCCCAAAAAATGCAGGTTTCTAAAGTATTTTCCTTTTTTAATTGAAATGGAAAAATCATATTGTCATATGGTGGGTCATTAAATTCATAGCCCAGTCCTTAACTTTTTATGGTAGCAAGCATCTGACAAAATAGGTTGTTGCCTACAAAAGCTCATTTCATTCAGAACCCATTAGTTTCTAAGATACTACCCTGCCCTACTTTTACATACTAATGCTAACAGAATAATTGGCAGCAGAATCAGGCTATTTTCATCCACATGAACTGTGTAGTGCAGTGGGATGAGGCAAAACAATTTGCCTGTCAGTTTCATAGCTCTTTACTGATAGAAGAGGGATGTGAAAGCTCAGGAGTCCTGGCAAGTTTTATTTCAGGTTCTGGATGGGAGCATTGGATGGTGATTATGGACCCTTTAACTGTAGCACCAACCTGCCTCTCTCCTTCTTGTTCCCACCCATACCTTTTCTGTTGACTTCCTCCTCCTACTCTTCAGTGCCTGAATATAAGCAGTCTTTCTACTCCAGTGATTTCCAAAGGGTGTGTCACATCAGATTTAATGTGCTGCGAGAGCGGCAGAAGTGTGCCACGAAAAATGATACTTTGTCAGTATAAGATCTGGTCCACAGAACCATGTCATCGGGCCTGTGGTGTTCCCCGAGGGTCCAGACATTTGGGATCGGGTGATCAGTGGAAATTAACACTGCCAACACTTTTCTACCACCGAATTTCCAGGCTCCACACAAGAAGATCAGGCCCCGGCTGGGCCAGCCCTGCATGACAGGATTGTGTCCATGGACTGTTAATCTGGCCCAATTATTCAGGCATAAGTGAAGAGTGCTGCCAATTTTAATCCAGAAAAAAAAGACTGTTCCAGATATCAAAAGTTTGGGAAACACTGCTCTACTCCTTTTTCCTATACTAGACAGTATCATGGACTCCAACAGCAAGGAGGGACAACTGAAGAGAAAGTCCCACTTTGCTTCTGCAGCTCTAAGCTATAGTGCAGTCAGAGCAGATAGTCTTTGTAGAACAGAGCTGCCTAACTCTAGCTCTACGTGAATTAGTTTTTCAGGGGCTTAAAATTTGGCTGAATTTAAGTTAATTTTTATGAGGATGAGAAAAGGCACATTCCCAACACTTGCTGAATTTCTAGCTTTTATGTTAAATTGAGGTGCTGTTAGCATAACAGTATGTATATGGGCAAAACAGCATGCATTTTTCCCTGTTCTCTTTCTTAGTTAAAATGGTCCAGTTGTTTCTAAGACTTACTCTATACATCACTCCCAGAAAAATCAGTACAACATAGACACTTAGCAAGGAGAACTTCAGTTCAAATGATTGAAATCTGCCAAAGTTGTTAAGCATCTGAAAATAGGGTCAAATAATGGGAAATGCCAACTGCATCTGTAGGTAATATTATCAGTTCAGCCTAATAAGTATTATGTCCAATTTATTTTAATAGTGGCTCTCAGAAGAAATTAAAACTTATTATTTTTCTTTTTTTTGCACTGAATATGGAGCCATATGCAGTTCATCTGCAATGTCGGACTTTTCTCTCTGAAAAATAGTATGTGATGGCAAGCTGAGTGTTGCTGTATTCTTCACTTGGATTGTGTTGTCATTAAAGGACATCACTGGGAATTGGGAGATCTAGCTTCTATGTTTCATTGTTGTTACTGGAATTCTTTGTGGCTTTGGACAAGGCACTTAAGCTAAATATTTCAAGCAGCCATTCATTTTGAATAGAAATACAGTCTCTTCAATATTGATGATTTATGTATTACAGAACAACCTGTTAAGTTGGTATGGTTAGGAGAAGCAAATGTTTTATTAGACTTTTGAAATATAGTGTCTTTTGTGCAAAGGGTTACTAAAACAAAATATGTGGCTTTTGCTTTGTATTTTAAAGAAATTTTAACTTGCTTTCCTTTGGAGAGGAAGCTGAAGAAGAAGAGGTAGAAGTCAACAAAGTTAGTCAGGTAAGGTTCCTCTTCCTATTTTTTTAACTGCTAGTTTAAAACCTTGAAAATTGTACATCTTGTAATGTTATGCTTCAGAGTCTGAGATTCATTTTTACTGTTTATAAACTTAATATATACACATAAACTTGATATAAGTATATAAAATATATTAAAATAATGTTATTTAGATGGAAAGATTATACAGCTGAAAGTAAGGAAATATTAGATTTCTGATTGTCTATGTCAGTGGTTCTCAACCTTTGGTACCTTACATCAATTGACGCGGCAGAAGCGAAACAAGAAGTCCCACCATGGCACTTCTGGTTTTACCGCCACGAGCCAAGTCCCACTTTTTCCTCACGGACCATGGCCCAGGGCAAAGCAGCCTGCTCGGGGCCTCCCTCCTTGTCCCCTGGCACACTGAAGCTGGGGAGTGAAAGCCCCAGCACACTGGACACAGCGGGAGGAGTGGCGTCTGGAACTTCCAGCCCAAACAGGCAAAGACGCCTCCAACCTGCCGGGCGGGGGGGCAGGCCAAACTCAAAACACGGCACTTGCATACCCTGTAGGGTATGCGTACCACAGGTTGAGAAACACTGGTCTATGTGGTCTTAAATCCATTCTCAGGTACATTTGCTGAGGATGAGATTTCATGAAGAAAATAGTATCAGATTACATAGTAAATGTTATATCATTGTGAATATATGCAAGTAGGTAGAATTAAGGTTGCATGGATAACCTCTGTTTTAGCATTTTATGATTTGAATGTATCAGCTATATAAGGTCAATTAAACATTTTTTTTATTTTTAATTTATAATGTATATTTTAAAAGAACTTTACCCTCAGTTTACTCTTTTCTAGCCTTCACCCTTCCCACTCAGCTAAAACGTCTGACGTCAGGATTACTAATTGTCAAACCACAGAGCCTCTCCATATTCTCTTTTTTTTTGTTGATGCTGATCATAGTTGCCTTCAGACTCCTGATATTGGGTACGGCTACAGGCAGTTACTTCAGGCTAAGGTAGGGTGTAAACTTAGTATGTCAGCTACTCCTTTTTAACTGCCCATGTGAATGCTTCCACCCAGAGGTAAGTGTGAGGTAACATGTCTCACTTTCCGGGGTGAGCTTCATCATACTGAAGAGTAAGAATGTGCATGGTGGCAGCTATTGTGGAGAAGCTGATATGCTGCAAGTTCACACTCTAGCTTACCTTGCCGTCAGTTGGGTGCATAGTCATATCATTATCTTCTCTAGGTCTCCTGTCTCTCTGGTTCATTGATGAGTCTTCATTCTTCATTCAGACTGAGTTGGACTACATCTAGCCAGAGGGACTGAGAATTATAACAGTCCATTTTTATTGTTGTGAGAAAATGCTTTATTCAGATTGCCCCCATTGGGCTTCATATAGACAATCGCGGGCGGCCTTCGAGCGTTCACCCGACCCCATCTGAGGGGTGTGTCCCTGGGACTCACGTGTTGGGTTGCACTCCACTCTGAGGGGAGTCCTGACAGTCGCCTGCCACCGTTTGGTCTTCTATGTTCCAGTAGTGAGGCTCCCTCCCGAGGTTTCTTGCTACTCTTGGGATCACCCATCAGAGACGTTCTTGGGGCTCCACCTCCCCTACACCCCAACCAAGCACCAACCTTCCGGCGCTGGATGGTGGATCTTCGGCCTGCTCCTTGGCTTGCCTATTCCTGACGACCACAGGGCATACAATTATCTCCCCCTTTGCACCCACCCCTCCTCTGAGGCCCTTGCCCAATCTTGCCTCAATCTATCTCCATCGCCCTTTACCCACAGAGGGTCTTTCCTGGGTTGCCACTCTCTGCGCCCTCCAAGATAGAGGAGGTCAGGGAAAAGAAAAAAAAGAAGATAAAAATAACGAAAGGGTCTGGGTGTGGGCTTCTGCCCACCCCCCCTCATGGGTCCACCGTCTTAGACCTTCTCTGGTCCCCCGATGTCATCCCTCTCTTCCTTGGCTGTCCTGCCAATCAAGGTGGTGGGCCCCACTAGTGGGGGGAGGGGGAGCCCCTCTTAAGGAATCTCCGTCTTGCCCCTACCGGGGCTGCAGACCTCCCTGGGACATTGGCTGGGGAGCACCCTCACCCTCCAGCATCCCTGCCGCTTCCCCTGTCATTTCTCTGCCCCCGGCCTTTAAATCCGCTGGGTGGTGGCTTTTCATGACATCATCTGCCAGTGCTGCGGCCAGCTGGCAATAAAAGCATCTGATAAACCGCGCCAGTGGCCCTTTTCGGCGCGGCTCGCTCTTCCCTGTGGGAGGTAAGTATTTCTTCCTTTCAGGGTTCTTTCCCCCTTTCTTTGGGCATGTCGCCCCTGCCTTGGGTCCCGCTGCGGGAGGCCGTTCTGGCGTCTCCATTTTTATTCCCCTGGGACACAGATGTAGCTGACTGCCTATCAGTTCAGTGACTTTTTTCCTATATGTCTGCATGTCTACAGCTCTAAAAATGAATATTCCTTCACTCTTGATAGTACTTTCTTACCTTGCCCTTAATAACTAGAGTCCTTTTAGGTAGAGAGCAGGGAGGGTCAGGTGGCACCTTTAGAAACTAACTGATTCAGAGGCATAAGCTTGTCTGGCAACAGCATATTTTGTCAGGTGGTGCTGTCTATGAAAGTATATGCCTCCCTGAACCATTTAGTTTCTAAGTTGCCACCCTACCCTGCCTTCTGCCAGGCTTTAGACTACCCAGCTAACTACCTCTCTTGGATCTCTTAGAAAATAATGAGGTTAGAGATGAACGTGACAGGATTATGAGACACTGCAAAGAAGTGCAGCATTATATATGGGTAGATAAGGTGGATGTTAATGGCTTTACAAAAGTAGATAGGTGAGGTATGAGAGGGCCAGTGGTGTAAGACAGAATGTCTGCAGAACTGAGAACCATCACTATATGATTTTGTGGAAGATGTTCCTCTCCTTAATTACTGTCAGGCTAATAAATTTGTTTTTAAAAATAAATAAAACCACCACGTGTTGGGTGAATTTTGGGTATTTCCTAATAGTATTTATTACCAAAAATACAGAGTTTGTTTACATTTACTGTTCCTGGTTTTCTGGTTGTCTCTGGTTATCTCTCTCCTAAGTTCACATCTCCATCTTCCCTCTCTTGCAGAATCTTCTAGACTAGTGGAAGCCAACCTTTATTGGCAGGTGTGCCACAAATTAACCCTGCACTCTCTCCAAGTGCTCCTCTGATCCCCTTCCCCTGCTGCTCTGCTTTTTGCTCCAGGCTTGATCTGCTGCTCTGCTCTCTAGTCCTGCCATTTCTGCCATTGTGCTACTTGTTCCTTACCTGATCTGCTGTGTGCCAGACAGGCTATTGTGCCACAGGTTGGCCATCCCTGTCTAGGCAATTGGCAAAGCCTACAGCTACCCATGCCATGTCTAGTTTGGTTCTTGAACATATGAAAAAGTCACTGCTGAAGTTTTTCACACTGTTAAATGTGTGAATCTTCTACGTAATATAGAATGGCCTCAGTAAAGTCCTTAGTGTTGAAGTATCTAATATGGAGGCACTTAAGATCCTGCTTAGCAACTTATGCTTTCTGGTTGATAAAGGCTTCACTATCTGTCCAGCCTTACTGTGTATTCACCTGCCTCTTTGACTGAGATCTAATCCACTCCCTCCCCCGACCCTACACCCCTTTATTAGAATCCCTATCTAGGGGTGTTGTGTGTTTTCAGGTCGTTAGATTCGTTCTGTCAAGGTGTGTGAATGATACTTTCAGCAAATGTTTACTGCATGCTAATATATGGGTTATTAATTTTTGTTTTTCTATTAATCTACTCTGTCTGTTCTGTAGAGTGATACCATTGCTGTACATACCCGCTGTCTGAATTAGCTTAGACAGATGTAGGAAAGTCAGAATTCCTTACCTGTTTATCCAGTATTGTTTATACCCAATCTAAGTATTTCACCCTTATGTTATATTGCATTGCTGGCCATAGGGCTGTTCCTCTGAAACTTTTGTGTTGTATTCTTTTTTTTTCCCTTTGTTGTTACTGCTCAAAGAGCTTTTAAAATTTGCCGAATCAGATAACTAGTCATTGTAACAGGAGCAATGTCAAGAGAATTTTCGTTTTGTGATTAGATGCATCTATGGCCAGTGCTTGGCTTAAACATGACAGGAACAAAATTATTGTTTATTCTACTGTATCAGTTATCCTGACTCCATATTCACATAAACATTGCTGTAACAAATATTTTATTGTTAATTTTACAGAGTATGAAGGGGAAAAGTAAAAGTAGCCATGACTTGCTGAAAGATGATCCACATCTAAGTTCAGTTCCTGCTGTCAAAAGGTTACTATACCACTTTTAATCTATGGAACTGCTTTGCTTTCATTTATATTGGTGGGACGGCAGACACTTTGGACAATAGGACTAGGATTAGGACAGGACAATCAAATACGCAGATTAGGGTAAAATGTCTAGGCTGTACTACTGCAAAAAAAGACCTGGGAGGTTATACCTGACTACAAGCTAAATATGAGTCAGTAGTATAGTACAACTAGCTTTTCTTGCAACAGTATATAGAGATGTCATATGTTTTGCTTTCTGCGTTGTTTTTTTTCCAGTTTGTAACTTGACTTCTAGTCCTCATTTAGTCAAATTATATATATGTGTATCACAGTACTTGACCTTTTGCAACTATACATATTGGATCCATAGGCCAATATCTAAAGGTTTATACTGACTACAACTTTTTGATTACTCATTGTTCTTTTTCCTTGGGCCAGAACTGCTTGGTTTAAGAGCAAAAAGTGGTCTTTTAGAGTCTGCAGACCATAATGGTTCGTCTGGGTACCTTGAGATGGACTCACTAATATAATTTATCCTCTACGTGGCAGTGCTGTATTTCTGTTGTTCTGTCCTACATTCTTAAATGTTTTTAGCCAGAGTAGATAATGATGAGCAAGTGGTAGAAAGTTGCAATCAGCTTATGTCATTATGGTAAGTGTGGTATAAATGGCTTGTCAGGTAGAGTTCTGACTTTGGTTTCAGAAGGCAACTTAATCAAATTCTTAACAAAGATACTGCTGTTTTAAAATTCTGCTCTGCATTTAAAATGATTGATTCCAAATGCTGTATAGTGAAAAATAACTCTTATGTCTTTCTTTATCTTTCAGTGAAAAAACAAATGAAGTAGGTGATTTAAGTGAGGTAAGTAGCACTTCCACAAACAAAACTTGGACTTCTTAGAGATACTCCATTCCATATGTCCTGTGAATTACATTTTTCTTAGGAGGAATATAACACTGCATAAAAACATACTCCACAGGATTGAGTTAGTAAGTATCAGATTCCCAACCAAAAACCAGTGAAATTCCCAAAGCTCTAAAACTGGTCCATTTGGAGCAGTCACAGCAGAGTAACACATGAGTTTAAGCCATAGAGCATAAAGTTCTGCATAATTCATGTATATGGACACCATTACAAAATGTACATTAGGGTTGTGTGAAATGGCTGTATTTCAATTCGGTTTCAGATTTGGTCATTTCGGAGGACAGTGATGTGTTTTGATGTTTCAGATCACTGTCCTGTTTGGTTTTGGCTGAATCTGTTTTGAACGGGCTGAAAGCTTTGCACAGCCCTACTGCCCAGCCAGGTGGGCTTTGGGGTCGGGGGCTTAGGGCCCCAGAGAGGAGCAGGATGGGGCCACAGGTGGCTCGTCTGCGGGAGGGCTGCTGCTGTCTGTGTAGGCGAGGGGACCCCCATGCAGATCTCTGATCCCTGTCACACTGGGTCATGGGGCAGGGAAGCAGTGCAGAGCAGCGAGGAAGCCTGCTGGTTCCTGCCGCGTGACTTGGTTCCACAGGAAGCAGAGATCTGTGCTAGGCAGTCTCCTCACTGCCGCTGCCCGCCCCGTGCCATTCCGGCGATGGGGGGCTGTGTGAGGTGGGCAGCGGTGGCAAAGAGACCCCCGGCATGGATATCTGCTCCCTGCAGAGCCAGGTCACGTGGCAGGGGCCAGCATTGCCCTGCTGTGCAACCTGGCTCTACAGGGAGCAGAGATCTGTGCCAGGGGTGGTCTCACCACCGCTACCCACCCCATGCTTCCCCAGGTCTCTGCTCCCTGCAGAGCCAGGTCATACAGCACAGACCAGCACTGCCCTGCTGTGTGACCTGGCTCTGCAGGAAGCAGAGATCTGCACCGGGGTATCCTCACTGCCACTGTCTGCCCTGTGCAGCCCTGCGTCATGGATTTGATTCAGATTTGGTGTTCTGGGTGCCAAAACGGCCCGAAACACCTCCGAAACATAACAGCTGTCAAAATTCACATAGCACTAACATACATATATGCCTATATGTGCATCTACATTTTTAAGTATTGTATGAGTTCTCCTGATGAGATAAAGTTTCTATGTTTAAAAATTATGTAGTAAATTCGTGCTAAAATTTGAAGCACTTATTTTAAATCAATGTAGAAGGAAGATAATGATGAAGGGGATGAAAATGAAATCGATACTAATGAAGAAAATGAAGTGAAGAATCGCATTGCTAAAAAGCTGAAAAAAGATTCAAATGAAAATGAAAAACTACCATTCAAGGAAGAAGAAATAAAAACAGAAAAGAAAACTACTACCCGCAGGTATGCAGCATACAATTTTTTATGATTTAAAGGTTTTATTTAATTTTAATTTATTTATTTCTGTTCATTTTTTATCATTATAGCTTACTATATGGAAGGGTACGTCTTACATTTTGATATGTTTCTTTGATTTTTGCTCCTATTAGAATAAATTGCTAATTACAGTAAAATCCTTGATAATCCGGCATGAGCGGGGAATGGGGGGTGCCAGTAATGTAAAAATGCCGGTTACCTGAGGGCACAGGGTTTCCAGCTGGACGCGGCGGAGGTGGCAGCCACATGCAGAGCATGGGGTGGGGGAGGGGTGGCAGCAGCTGCATGTGGAGTGGGGGCTGGGGGAGGGGTGGCTGTGTTCGCATGCGGAGCATCAGCTGGGAGCTCCCAGGCTTGGAAATGCACGCGGGCCCCACAGCTGGGAGCCCTGTCAGCTGATCGGAGTTCCCAGCTCTCAGGGCATAGGTTACACATGCAACACAGTGTGGTGGGCAGCAGCAGCCACCTGTGAGCTTTCCCCCTGACGTCCAGCCAGCCAGCCGGAAGTTCCATTTACTAGAGTATGCTGGTTAGTAAAATCCCAAATAACAGGGATTTTACTGTACTTTAATCTAGGATGTCAAACATAGAGCCTCTGGACAGATCTGGCCCACAGAACCCTTCTAGCAGGCCTCCCCATTGTTTGGTAGGCTGCTAGAAGTTGAGGGCATGGCCTGCTGCAACATTCAGGGCTCCTCGACCCCAGTGGACATAGTCATTGGCAGCAGGGGGATGAGTAGGAGCTCTGCAGATTCAGCCCTCCCTTGCCTCACTACCATCCAGTCCCTGACCTGTGCTCCTGCCTGCCTACCTCTGGACCTCACACTGCCACCTGATCCCTGACTCACGGCACTGCCTGAGTGGGAACCCGGACTGTTAGCCCCAGGCCCACTGCAGCTGCTGTGATCCAGCCTGGGAGTAGCCCACATGGTCCAGATCCAGCCCAGGTGGATCCCCTTGAATCTGACCCAGGGCTGAGGTGAGTTGACACCCCTGCTTTAAATGGTGGCCATTTTCTTTGTTCAGAAATATAGTGACAAATTACTGAAAGCCTTTTAGTCATCTGTTAGCTTGTTCTAGCATAGTAGAAATAAATGTGTACAGCAGACATGTCTGTAATACAGTGTTTATTATCACAGGGAATGATAGGGGTTGATACCAGACATATTAGGAATTGTTTCACAATATTTTACTACACACCATTACAGCTGATGCAATCTCCCAGCCACAGGGGTGTACCACATGGGGGTCCCCATCAGCTGGGAACTCCCAGGCTTGGAAATGCATCAGAGTTCCCAGCTGTTAGGGCACAGGTTGCACATGCAAATTCATAGCTGGTTCCCATCCAGCTTTAAGTTATTACACATTTTCTAGCAATAACGTTATAGCTGGTTGGACCTTTTTAAGGCATCATAGTTAATTGGTACATGCAGGCACCCTAAATTAATTGCACAATAAACCAGGTAACTATATAATACATGTAACATGTAGAGGGGGCCTAATTAACTATAATCAAATAACTATATTTATGTAATAAGACTGACTACAAAAATGGAAATGCCAGAAATGTAAGTTTCATTTAAAATGTCTCTAATTTCATTGTTTTTAAGGGAATTTAGTGGCTTATGTGAAACTTAATCTTGGCCAAACCCGTTGCCTGCAAATTGTTTTATGTGTACAGATAGCTGGTGAAACCTTTCTTTATCAGATTTACCTGCCATGCTTAACACTGGTTCTTGTGTAGCCAAACTGAGAACCACAGTGGGTACATGCAGATATTACATTTAGATCACCCTAACTAGGGTTGGGTTGATCTAAGTACTCACTGGGTTGGGTTGATCTAAGGTACCCACTGAGGTAAGGAGAATAGTTGGGGAGGCACTGAGGTCCCGGAGGGGAGAGGAGTCGGGTGGTTGTTCCTTAAGGAGACAGTTCTCCAGGCCCAAAGGGAGGTAATCCCAACACGGATCAAAGGGGGCAAGAAGGCGCAAAAGCCCCCATGGCTCACCAAAAGCATACGGGAACATCTCCTGGCTAAAAGGGAGACGTATACCCAATGGAAGGGAGGGGCCATCACCAGGGAGGACTATACCTCAGTTGCTTGGGGCTGCAGGGGGACGGTCAGGAAGGCCAAGGTGGAGATGGAACTGGGACTAGCTACCCGGATCAAGGACAACAAGAAGTCCTTTTTTAAATACATAGGGTGTAAAAAGAAGGTACCAGGAAATGTGGGGCCTCTGCAAGACATGCTAGGAAATCTGGTTGTCACACTAGACGACAAAGCTAACCTATTTAATAATTTCTTTGCCTCCATTTTCCTAAGCAGGGACCGGGTCACCCCCCCGACACCGGGACCTCCGTAGGCCCCAGGGGAGGCACATCCAGACCTAGCGTCAGTGAGGATCTAGTCAGGGAACTTCTGGAGGGACTGGATGTATTTAAATCAGCTGGTCCTGACGATCTCCACCTCAGAGTGCTGAGGGAATTAGCAGAGATCATTGCAGGACCCCTGGCACGGCTCTACGAGCACTAGTGGTGCTCTGGTGTGGTGCCAGAGGACTGAAAAAGGGCCAATGTGGTTCCCATTTTCAAAAAAGGAAGGAGGACCCAGGAAACTATAGACCAGTTAGTCTTACTTAGATCCTGGGTAAGCTTTTTGAGAGAATTATCATAGCACATGTCCATGATGGGCCAGCAAGGGAGATTATGTTTAGGGGCAACCAACACAGGTCCATTCGAGGCAGGTCCTGTCAGACCAACCTGGTGGCCTTCTATGACCAGGTCACAAAATCCTTAGACACAGGAGTAGCAGTGGACGTAGTCTTTCTGGACTTAGGCCTTCGACACTGTCTTTCACCCCATTCTCATCAAAAAAACTAGGAGACCGTGGCCTTGACACCTACACAGTCAAATGGGTTGCTAACTGGCTGGAGGGCCGCACCCAGAGAGTGGTGGTGGATGGGTCATTTTCGACCTGGAGGGATGTGGGCAGTGGGGTTCCGCAGGGCTCGGTCCTCTGGCCTGCACTGTTCGATATTTTCATCAGCGACTTGGACAAGGGTGTAAAAAGCACCCTGTTCAACTACACAGACGACACTAAGATGTCGGGGGAAGTGGGCACACTAGAAGAGAGGAATAGGCTGCAATTGGACCTAGATAGGTTACAGGGGTGGGCGGATGAGAACAGGATGGGTTTCAACACTGACAAGTGCAAGGTACTGCACCTG